CAGCTTTAGGTCATTGTATGTTCATATAGTTCATTTACTGGTTAAAACCAGCTTTAGGTCATTGTATGTTCATATAGTTCATTTACCGGTTAAAACCAGCTTTAGGTCATTGTATGTTTATATATAGTTCATTGTTTATTAGAGTGGATCCAGAAAGTACTTTACATAAGGACATGGTGCAATTGAAAAAGCAAGAAGGACTTGATCACATCCACTTAAATCTGTCATTCACTGTAAGTATGTCCTGCAAGTATTTCATTTTGTGGATGCCTACTCTGCCACCAACTCACAACTCTACACATGTTTTGCTTGTTGTTGTTGTTTTGGTTTTGTCTGGTGTGTTTTTTGGCTTGTTTTGTTGTTGTTGTTTATTGTGAGTTATTCATACAAATCATTTAGATTATTAATAGTTGTTATATTCTTTTTAAGGATAAATTTCCATTTGATCCTCCATTTGCCAGAGTTTGTTACCCTATTATCAGTGCGGGGTAAGTCAATAGACAGTATTCACAATTATATGGTAAAATGATAAGTTATTCTCAATTGATTTTGAAAGCTTTGAGAGCAACCAATATTTAGGAAAAAATGCAATAAAAAGGTTATGACATTTATTCCAATTAAGAACAGACAGGCTGTAAATGGTTTCCTAGTTTTCATACGTCACTACTTGGTGCCTTACKAACTTTTTACATGTTATTTCAGGTATGTTCTTAGTGGAGGAGCGATATGCATGGAACTTTTAACTCCACAGGTACTTTCTCACAATCTAACAATACCATATGCTGTCATAATTCTGCATTATCTGTAATAGTTCTTGTTTGTAAATAGCCCAGTGTAGTGACAATAATTCAAAAAGATAAGGAAGCAATCAATAGCTTTATGAAAGGCCACTTTATATGGTATAATCTGATGATCAAAGACAGAACGTATGAAACTTGTGGATGCCTTACTACCCCCCAGTATTGTGTCAATGAGAAAGATGATCTAATGATAATCATTGAATATCATTGCATGTGATACAAATTGCCTCATAGGACCATTCAATGATTTTCTGCTTTTTTGTCTCTTATTCTTTAAGATATAATATTATACACATCTAATGTATGATATGGTAGTTATGTTATATATAAAATATGAGCGGGAGACCTTTATGGGCATATAAAACAGTAAGCTGCAAGCGAGCAGTTTTTTAGCCCATAAAGGTCGAACACGAATATTTTATATTGCTTATCAAATTCCAACATAAGCTAAAGCATATTTCGCAAAAAAAACATCAAGATAAGATATCATCTGTAAGAGAAATTGAAATTAAAGTCGCATGCAAATCTTGCTCATATAAAGATGCGTTCACAGCAATGATTTTCCATTGTGTTTGCATTATGAATTATTAATGAATTTGATAATAGCTTATAAAAAATGTGACATAATTCTTTTAATACTTAAAAGTATTTAGTCCTTATAGTATCCAGTTAGTATCTTTTCAGTCAACTAAGAATTCACCGAGGCATACACACAATGACAAAGGGATTCAAAGACCTTTTTTTAACTTTCGTTGTGCTTCTTTTGTTTCTCATTTTTATCATTGTGTCTAATTTATGCCTTGGTGAATTTGTGATAGTTAACTATTATTTCACAGTTTGGTTCATATGCACTCTATTATAACTGTCAGAGTGATTATTATTTTGTTTTCTATAGGGATGGAGTAGTGCATACACAATTGAAGCTGTTATTGTACAGATTACAGCAACWCTAGTCAAAGGAAAGGCCAGGATCAACTTTCAAGAAAGTAAAAAGGTCTGTTTTTAACATTGGTCTTGTCTATTTATATTGTATCAGAAAAACTAAAAAAATAGTATTAAATATTTAGTAACATTAGTGACCAATAGTCATGCAATAATTGATTTTCTTTTCTTTATTAAAAGCCTGGGGTATACAGCTTGGTTAGAGCTCAGCAATCCTTTAAATCGCTTGTTCAGATTCATGAAAAAAATGGTAAGAAAAACTGCTCCTTTTCCACTGATTGTATGTTGCTATAAGTACAGTGAAGACCTGAATATTATACATACACCTAATTGCAAAAGCGTTATCACTGAAAAATAGAACATTTGTACATGTAGTTAGAAGGAGGAGATCATTAAAGGGCCATGTTCGAGCTTTTGTTTAGTTTTGAAAGTAAAATTAGATTGTAATTAAAACTTACTCTGACTTTATTATCTCTTTATGCACTATGAATGCCTTCTTTTGTCTTTTTAATTTATTCTTTTTTATTAAAGTACAAATGTTCTATGTGCTATTAAATTAAGGTGTATCACCTATTTCAAAAAATGTTGTCGGAGAGAACAGCAAACACCGATTGTTATTGTGTGAAATGAAGACTAAAATGAGACAATGTTTACCACAAATTRTCTTACAGTATAAATCAGTTGTTATTTGTCATTAATTAGCAAAAACCATGGATACTTTCGGTTGTACAATCGCCGTTCCACAATTGACATTCGCCATTTTATCCCACAACTTGAAATAGGTATATGTATATCATTTCCAATTGCGAAAATGTAGTTAGCTATGCCCATTGATAATTCTAATTATTTATTGGACTATTTTATTCAATTTTCTTGTTCAACAGGCTGGTACACGCCACCAAAGCACGAAGGTTAAATTCTTCAATACATACATGCAAAGTTACATGCAAAGTTAATTGATAATTTTTGTAAAACCAGTAGGCATCATACATATATTATTGTTATTGTTAACCCTCATGTTTCAATTTCTTGAAATAGTGATTATTTCTACTACATTAGCTTGTACATATAATACATGTATTGTAAATACATTACTGCTTGTAATACCTTTGTTAATCATAGTTAGCTATCCTTTGACATTAAAGGCAAAACATTCCATTTTGGATATACACAGCGTGCTCATATTTTTAGCTCATTTATTTTAAATTGTATATTTTTGTTAGATAGCCCAATTAAGATTAGMTGTGCTAGCCATAGGCCGCCCGACTTTAGTTCTACCTTTTTGTCAATCTATTTATGTATTATGTCGCGTTTAGTTATTACATAGTCGCTTGGAGATACGAAAATCTTTTTCTCGTTCGCGTATCCACGCGACCATGTAATATCCTTTATTTCTCAATTTTCCAATATGGCTAGCCCGACTTCACGCTCAGTTTGTGGTGGTCAGTCTTTCCCTAGGCTCCTCCACTCTGAAAACACCACATCACTGTGCATGTCCAACGTAGAAAACACCAAAATTATATTATCTAAGTAGTATAGAGTAGAAAATCTGGAAAACTAGATGACGGAAAAGTTCGTTGCGGAAGCTGCAGGAACATACTGTTTTTCAGTCTTATGAGTCGAGTAGCCACAAAAAAGGGTGTGACTTGCTTCTAGAGGCTACAGCTGTACTTCTAATCTCTTCTCTGTTTATCTACTGCTTATTCTATTTCTTCTCCGAGAAGCGTCGTCAATCGAGTCGACAGAGGGGGTGGTTTCTGAAGCAGTGAAATGTAACCTCGTGGATTTGGATAACTTGAGGAAGGTCAATGTAATTTATAAGAGACAGCAAAATAATCAGTAGTCGAAAAAGTTATTAATGTTTTTTTATATACATTTGCCATCTGTTGCAGTCATATATGACGTGTACTTCAAGTGCGCAGTCTTGACAAGCTATAGATGGAGGGAACAAAGTGAAACAACGTAATTGTATAAGTGATTATGAATTGTAATGAATTTGAAAAACGATTAGAAAAAATGAGCATTGATTTAATTCTAACGCAAAGAAACACAGAAAGGACAGAATGAATTCATGATATTAGAAATTTTATGTTTATAGCCTTAGGASTAAAACAGGAACATTGCATACGAACACCAGTTCTTAATAGAAATTTTAAAATTGATTAAAAAACGAGTAGGAGTGTTTTATCGTGAGATATAAACACGAGGCACGAACTACGTTAAGAACTTAGTTTAACATAAAATAAATAAAAAACTATCAAAAATGAATAATTGATGAAGATATCTCCATCTGAGCATGAGCAGTAATCAACTTGGTTTCCCACATCCAAGCGCCACTATGTTTTAGTGTACGTGACTCTGCAAATAAGTAACTTTAACTCGAGACCTAGTGAAGTTCTATGATGAGAGTCTAAAACTGAGAACTTTTCTAGTGTTGGGCACACATCGAGTGTCTGTAAATYAGTTATACATCCTGTYATGTGATCCATAGTTGAATGCTCATTGGAAGAATGTCTAATGAATAATTCATGAGTTCTAGAAATATTACCTAAAAGAAAGGGTTTAGCGTAAGTGGTTTTCTTTTGCCTATTCTATTTGCTCCTATATACATCGCTAAATCTGTAATTACGTACTGTATAGACCCCTTGCAGTTCATGGGAATGCCGCTCCAACTGGAGGACAAAACAATAGATTCTAGTTCCCAAGAGGATAAAAATCTTTTGTTTTGTCCTCCAGATGAAGCTGTTTTGACGTCACATGCAAGGGGTCTATATAAGCTTTTCTTGTGAACTATGAAACAAGAGCATGCGCGCACTTCAAGACCCATGATACCAGGCGTTTCTGCAATTCAGCTTATGCAAAATAAACACCCTGCCCCCTTTCCCCACAACAAGGCTGTACAGATGGTTTCTTTCCTCATCCTTGTCGATTTTGTAGCAATTCATTGACGARCAACATTAAAAAAGGGAGGTTGTATACGGTAAAACACTATATCATGAGACGGTGTTTCACATATGTTTTTCACATAAAAGATTGTAGCTTGTCTTGTAGGACTCGCGAGTGGCAAACTGTATGCCGGAAAAGGCTGTATCAGTTCAAATTTATTTGAACTTTTATTTGAACTTCAATATTTGAAATGAAATCTTTCTTAAGTTTGCGATATGTTATTTGTTTGTTTGAGACAGGTAACAATTATCTGACAAGTACTTTGTTTACATCAAAAAGCACTCTCGATAACTATTAATATAAACCATGCCCAGAATAAATCGAGCCTTGCTAATTATCATCAACGTCAACAAACGGCAAGACTATTTTTCTAGCTTGATAATCCAACATGATAGCTCTGCTATGCTTGTTGATGTGTTCAAAAGCCTTTTCTACGGGTAAAACAGTAAGAGGCATAGCCAACAACATTTCGTTTGCAAACTTTATTCGACATGAAGGCTTAAAGTTACAATCAACTCCTTTGAAGACGATCAATGTCAAGTCATCTGTTGATTGCCTTATCGAGTGTGCATTTGTTGTTCAGTGTGTTTCTACCAATGTTAATGTCACTAAGGATGTAAAGAATCTGGTTGAATGTCAGTTACTGGATAAACGCATGTACGAACAAAGTTGGATTCAAGTTAAAGGTGTTGATCACTATACAATACCGGTAAGAATCGTGCCAAGTGTACTTTTTATTGACTATGACTGATCGCTGATAGGCCTTTTCATGTCTTTTTTCTTTCTTTTTTTTTTTGCTATTTTCTCTTACAAGTATTTAAATATAATTTGGTCAAGTAATCATCGAAACTATTGCGTCATCAGTATTTAGCCTTAAGGAATCAGACGTCATTTTCGATATAAAGGTGTGCGTTTACAGTTTTACAGGATAAAAAGTTTTTAAAAAAGCAGCGAAGAACGCACTAGCTTTGATTGTGTTTTCACTTGAATTTTGGACAGTTTATGAAGTCGGAAGTGTGTGCAAATTATTTGGTTTTGCCACATTTTAATGTTGAAACTTAGCGAATTTTTTCCTTTCAACTAAGTGAGTTTGTCAGCACATGTGTATCTGTCCTATTATTGTCACACACTGACCAGACAATCAGCGATCGACAATTCGTACAACTGCGGTAAAATGCAAAAAAGCTGTTCTTTTATAAACATATTTGTATGAACAATCTATTTGGAACTCTTCCAATAATCCTACATAACTTTAAGAATTTTGTTGTTGCTTTTTTGTGTGTGAAACTGAATGTCTCGTTAAGAGATAAAATCTGTGTTATGAACATCGAGTTTTCATGTTATTCAGAGTTGCTGTGAAAACCTTCTACCACCAAGATGCTGATGTTAGATATTTTTTAGTAACAAAAATGCTTATGTTTCGTTMACGAAATTTGAAAAATTTGTTGATTCATTTTTGAATTCTCGCGCGCTGATTGGCTGATTATAGTGAGTGAAGAAGGGGACATACAAACTTTGGTAGCACAATCACGTTTCACGCTCGCTCTCATTTGACTTTCGAAACTTTTTAGCCTGTCAATCTTCAAAACTTAAGTGGACCCACGAACGCAGCGCATACAACTCAAAATCGTACGCTATTTTTAAACATTTGATTCATGTTATTTTCATCGTTCATTATAAGAGCAAGTGCAGCGTGGACTCGTGTAAAACAATGGCATGTGCATCCCTGTTAATGACAGCTATCACTGCAAGTGTCTTCCAGGGACGAAAGGGAAGGAATGTCAGATTGAAGGTAATGATCAATGCTTACTAAAACTAGACGCTCTTAGAGCGCGTACAAGGACTGCATCACAGGGCAGTAACGTAATATATATGACGTCACATTACACGTTTATGGGACAGACGTAGGCTATAGTTGTTTCCCCAGGTTCAATTGACATTGATCAAAATGAGATGAGCGATGAACTACACTCCATTTCACCACGGTTCACGTGTGATATGTAACATGACTTTCGGTAATAAACAGGCCACGATAACAATGCATGATGTCAAGAATTTGCTTGACCAATTTTCAATGACATAGAGTCAAATTAGGACAAGTTGCAACAATCTTTTCCAAGGTCACGTGATACATGACGGCACATACTGTGATTGACAGTATAAT